TAATAATAATAATAATAATAATAATAATAATAATAATAATAATAATAATAATAATAATAATAATAATAATAATAATAATAATAATAATAATAATAATAATAATAATAATAATAATAATAATAATAATAATAATAATAATAATAATAATAATAATAATAATAATAATAATAATAATAATAATAATAATAATAATAATAATAATAATAATAATAATAATAATAATAATAATAATAATGGTTGATAAAAATTATTTTCTTTTTTTTTCCGTATTAATTTTTGTTTTAAATTATATTTTTTTTTTAATAAAAATAAATAAATAAATAAATAAATTTGTATTATGTAATTTTTTATTAAATGGCATTTTGCAAAACCATCATACATAATATTTAAATACCAGAAGTTAAATAAATAAAAAATTAAAACATTATTATTATTATTAATATTCGTCCGCGGTCACCATGTTTTTTTTTTTTTTTTATTTAAACCCGCGACATTTACAAATTTTTTTTTTGCATCCGTTTTAAATGTTTAAATGTCGATTGTTATTATTTACAACAAACAACAACAAAAACAATAATAATAATTTGACACTTTTATCAAAATTATTATTATTATTATTATTTTCGTATTATTTGTTATTGTCGACAATTTTTTTTTTTTTTCTTAAATTTTGTTTCGTCAAATAATTTTAACCGTTATTAATAATAATAATAATAATAATAAGTTTTTTGTTTGTTTTTCATTGCATGTTGTATTCGAACGAAACGAATACAAAATGATAATGATAATAAAAGAAAAAAAAAATTACGGATAATAAATGGTATTTAAAGGACGCGGATTAATAACAACAATAATATTTCATTAATTTTAAATTTTTTTAATTATTAAATATTTTTTTATTTAAATAATGCCCTTCAAAGAAATAATTATTTAAACGACGTGCGTGTACAACAGAAAATAATAATAATAATAATAATAAATTTATAACAAATTTAAAATTGATTAATATTTAATTTTTAAAAAAATGCATGTGTTGTTGTTAATGTTGGAAAGGCCGAATTTTTTTTTATTTAAATAAATAATTTAAATAAACATTATTAAACAATTATTTAAACGTATTTAAACAATTTATGTTTTTTTTTTAACGAGAAAATAAAAATTTAATTTTTTTTGTTCGGGGATATAAATTCCATCACCACCGCCTTTTTTTAACACAAAGTAATTGTTTTGTTATTACGTCATCATTATATAATTAATTATATTAAGTTGAATAATGATCGCACCTTTTTTTTTTTTTAAATTATTTTTTTTACGTTAGTATTAAATATTAATCGTTACGGATTTATGTTAATAAAAAAAAAAAAAAAAAGCAGAAGAAAAAAATTCTCACCGAAAATCAATTGATTAAACCCATCCAAAAATGAAAAAACAAATGAAAAAATAAAATAAAAATGTACAAGACCTTAAAGAGTCGATATGTCGCGTAAATAAAACAACTGACATTATTAATATTTAATTATTTAAATAATAATAATAATGATATTAAAAGAGCCAGATATCCTTGTTACTTAATTTTCAGGTAGGACCAGTCAAAATTTATTTTATTTGAATTTGGTTCTTCTTTAATGTTCGTTCTACACCCATTCTTTAACATTTATGTTAATTATGTTTTTATTAATAATTATGATGATGACATCGAAACGACGACGACAAAGTGTGTGGGTATTTTATTGAAAGTAATTATCGAATGATTTGTTGTATTGTCACAAATATTTAATTGGGAGAAATAGAAGGAGACGTAAGTCAAAGTACAGAGATGCAAAAAGAGACACATTAAGAGAGAGAGAGAGAGAGAGAAAGATAAAGAAAGAGACACAATTAAAGAGATAGAGATATACAAAAAGAAACATAAGTAAAGAGAGAGAGGGAGAGAGAGAAATAAAGTAAGCATAATATTTATATATATATATGTAATTATTATTATTATTATTTGCTTAAACCCGGTTTGTAAAGCATGAATGTACCAACCACTAAACTTTCCGTTATTTTTAGGCATTTCCTTATGTTAGAAAACCATAACCGGTTAACGATGACACTAAAACTGTTTGTGTGACTGGTAACGTTTGTTTCCACCGTGAAATTACATTCGAAGAAATTAAAAAAAAAAAAAATTCAAACCGAAAAAAGGCTACAATATCTACGACATGTTCTTTTTCGGTTTGTATACCGCACTTGAAAACTTATTTTTAAAAAAATTAATAATAAATAATTTTACATCTATTAAATTATTAAATATGTAAAACATAACAGTACATGATGTATACTAAAAGAACCTTAAACAAATTCGCCCTTTTGACCTTTTAGTAAAACAAACGGTTTTTTTAAAAATTTAATTTGTTTTTATTATGTTTTTACTTGTTTTTTTTTAAACATCAAAACATGATAAGTTGATAAAGGAAAAATGAAAACAAACAAACAGAAAAATACAATTAAGTTAAGTAGTAACTAACTTAAAGCTTTAAATAAAAAAAAAGTGCTGGTATTAAAATTAAAAGGTAGCCATTTTTTTTTTTGTTATTAAAAACAAATTAATTAAATGACTTTCCCGCATTTCTTTTTATATAAATAATTATTTTATTATCTGAATTTGATTAAATTCAATAAGAAGAAAAAGAAGAAGAACTCAAAAGTAAACAAATTTGAAAAAATATCCAATAATTTATTATATATCCATTGAAAAAAAAAAAAAATTCATAAATTTAGTTTAATCATTGTATGCATGATAAACATAAATTATGATTAACTTTTGTTAGATGTGACCTAAAATTATGATAATAAAATTTAATTTTACTTTTTTATATAAGAAATGTTTTTGAGTTAACAACAACAACAACAACAACTACAACTACACCTACAACAACAACAACAACAACTTCTACAACAACAACAACAACAAGTACACCTACAACAACTACAACTTCTACAAGAACAACAACAACTACAACTACAGCAACAGCAGCAACAACAATAACTACTACTACAACAACAAGTACACCTACAACAACAACAACAACTACAACTACAACAACAAGTACACCTACAACAACAACAACTACAACTACAACAACAACAACAACAACATCAACAACAACATCAACAACAACAACCAGAAAAAATTTTAAAAGAGTAAATGTCAATGGGTTTAAGTTAAATAACATTAAAAGGTTATTTTTTTTTAACCAGATGAAAATATACCTGATATTAAATTAGTAGGTTTAAGAGAACAAAAAAAAATTATTATTATTATTATTTCTTGTGATCATACTACATAAAACTGGTTTTAAAAATTTTTTTCTCTAATTTGGTAGAACAGAATCATCATCATCATAATCATCACATGAAAATACTCCTCATATTTATAATTTGCCAAATTTTTTTTTTTTGCTTTGTTTTTTTAACAACACAATTAAAGTTTGTTGACTTAACCATTTAACAATTTTAAAAGGAAATTTTTTTTTTTGTTTTTTCCTTTTTTAATGCAAAAAAATAAAAAAAAGAACTTTAATGCTTACCAATTTCCTTCGAATTTTCAATTGACGATCCGAAGATTTTTTTTTAAATATCATTTATTATTATGATATTTTTCATTTCCATAAATAAGCACAAATTATTATTCTTTTATAGAATTTCATGTTTTTCTTTTTTACTTATTTGGCATTCACATTCGCTAACGACACACAACAATTTAATTTAATTATATAAATTTATTCGTTTTAGATTAAAAAAAAAAATTTTTTTAACGGAAACCGCGAATCGAATTCAAAATAATTTTTTTTTGACATTAATTTACTTGAAAAAAAAAATTACATTGATAGTAATAATTTGATTATTAATTAATTAAATCTAATTAATAAAAATTTAAAGTAAAAGTCAAATTATTTGATCTTAATTATTCGTTAATATCACAAAAAAAAAAAACCCATGCGAATTTATCGTAATTTAAAAAATAAAACACGCTCGTGCACTCAATTCACGATTAAATGAAAAAACCAACGACTTGCATTACCAGTTGCGCCGTTTTCTTAACTGGTGGGAAAACGTGGAATTAAATTGTTTACTTTATCATGTGACGACAATTATGGCCGTGGAATTAAAACTTTTGGCGGGAATTACAAATTATTTACTTACTCTATGGTAATTTAGCATCTTGTTTACTTAAAATATTTCATATGAAGACATGTATATATATTAATTATAAAAATGCAATAATTAATTAATTTTAAAACAAACAAACAAACAATAAACTTTATTTAATAACAAATAATACTAAACAAGTCAAAAACAAAAAAAAAAAAATAATTAAAAATAATACAATGAATATTAATTATTACAAAAAAAATAAAATAAAAAATTGTGAAAAAATTCCTTTTAAATCCATAAAAATATTAAAATTTAATTCATATACGTTATAATTACGTAATAAGCATATATATATATATATACAAATGTATCAAATTAAATTAAGATTTTAAACATTTTTTACAATTTTAATTTATTTTTGTCAATTTTTACAAGCGAAACGTTAAAAATTTTTATTTTTGTACTTATTCAGTCAGTTTAATTTATATGGAAGTATAAATATTTATTTCATATTTTGATAGATTAACAAAAAAAAAAAAAAAAAAATTAATTATAACACAAAAACACTAACAATAATAATAATACATTAACACAGTAATATTTTAAATTTTTAAAAAACTTTTTATTTATTTATTTTTTTTTTGCATATTTACATTCATTCCTTTAGTCATTTTTTAAGTTAATTTTCTTTTTAATAAATAAAAAATATCACACATTAACGTATTTCGTAAAAAAACAAGAAATATAAATAATAATAAGCAATAATAGATTTTTTTTCTTCTTTAAATGACATTAAATGGATTTAAATGGCGGACAAATCGCACATCTCAAAATGCTTACAATGAGAATGATTGATTTATTTATTTTTTTTTACGTTTATAACGTTTTCGATTGGAATTTTTTAAACAATTTGAATTTTCGACAATCATAACCGCATTTGAAATATTAACATCTTTTAATTCGGCCGAAACTAAATCGATTTCCGTTATGAATTCTGAATTTTCCGTTTCCGTTTTTTGATCGGTGGTCAAATTTAAATTTTCCCTCCGTTCCTTTCTGTAAAATAATAAATAAATAATATTTACGATAATTTAATTCACAAATTTTTCCTTCAGATTAATTAAAATAATTTAAATACCCGTAAAATTCATCACCGACAAATAATTTCCGCTTTATTTCATTTAAATTTTTTGTCAAATCAAAATCCGATACAGAATCTTCTGAAATTATAAAAACAAGGTTTCGATAAAATTATTAAAATTTAAAAAGATTTTCATTTAAAATACCTGAAAAATTATTATTATTATTATTATTTGTAGGTGTTTCCGATACGTCATCAGTCAAATTTTCCCTGATAAAATTTGCCATCGTTTCTGTTAATGACACATTTTTTGTATTAAAAATTATTTTTTTGTAATTATCATCAAGACGTACATCGAAACAAATTTCTTTTCTAGAAAAAAAAACAAAAAAATTAAAATTTTAATTGAGATTTTAAAACAATTTAAATAAAATAAATAATTTAATTACTTTAAATTTATATTAATTATTTTTCCAGGTAAATATTTATTATTGTCATTTAAAACCAAAACCGAATCATTTTTTCCTAATTGATCCCAAGGGATCATATTTTCTTTTTTTACTTCGTCTATGTTGTCATCGTTAAATTTTACAACCCAAACATTTTCTTTTAATTCTTCCAGAAGAATTCCAGGATAATATCTCATGTTTGTAACTTTTGCTAAAACCCTTTGCCCTACGTAAACAAAAAAGAAAACAAAAAATAAATAAAACTGACATTTTTTTTTAGATGCAGTAATAAATACAACAAAAAAAAAAAAAGGAAAACCTTTAAATAAATTAAATTTATTTTTTTTTATCGGAGTTATTTCATTTAATAAAGAATTTTCATTTTTAGGAAAATTCGATTTTTCATTTAAAACAAATGATAAATTAGTATTATTATTATTATTATTTGAAACGTTATAAGAAAATTTATAATTTTCACTACTATTCGTATTAATAGAAAATTTTAAATCATTTTCTCCGGTACTACTTGATGATAAAATTTGTGTGCTTAATATTGAATCATTATTATCTTCTTTTAATTTTTTAAACGATAAATTATTATCAACGATTATTTCAGAATGTTTTTCATCTAAAATCATTACCGATTGACATTTTCTACTTCTTTTAATACCAAGAGACCTGTAAATAATAACAACAATTAAATCCTTTATTAAATTCCCCCCCCCCCCCCCCGGTTTTTTTTTTAACGAGTTAAAATTTAATTAATAATAATAATAATAATAATATATGATTCTTACTTTTTTGGTAAAAAATTTTTTTCTTTAACTGTTTTTTTTTTTCTCAATGAAAAACTAAGTAATTCATCTAATTTGAGTAGTAGTAAATTTTCATTTGCCCATTCGACTCTATTAATTTTATCTTTTTCTAAAAAATTTAAATATAGAAAAAATTATTATTTAATAATGATAAGTTAAACATTTAAATTTTCTTTCAAATATTTACCAGAAAATAAATTTTCTCCTAAAAAAAATGTCGAATCATTTCTGAAAATAAATAAAACCTGATTAATAAAATGATCCTGATTCGAAACATTTGTTTCGAATAAATTATTAATATTATTATCATTGAAAAAAAAAAAAAACTTATTACTTGTTATTTGTATTGTGATCTTGAAATGACTTTTTAAAAGTATCAAGTTGAGGTTTAGATTCCAAGTTACATTTTGGAAGTTCATAAACCTGAAATTAAAAAATAAATTATGTTTAAAGAATGAAAATTACAATATGTAAAAAAAAAAAAAAGTTTTTAGGTATCACTTACGTTTAATATAAATTTTTCAATTATTTTTGTCGCTTTTGAAATTATTAAACATGACACTGATATATTGAAATTAATTATTTTAGTTTCAAGATCAGATTGAGATTTCATCTGCTGTTGTGTCGACTGCATTGACTGCGAAGAACAAATTAAAAATTATCGTTAAAACATTCGAAAAGTTTTTTTTTTTTTTCGTTAAATAAAAAAATACCTCTAATTTATATTTTAAATCGTTTAATAATATGGTGCTGTCTTCCAAATGATTTTTAATTTCTGCATTTTTCTGATGGGCTTGTGTAGAAAATAATATATCTGGAGTTACATCTTCAATACTGGGAACATTTTTTAAATGATCATCATCTTGTGTGAAAAGTAATGGAGTATCACTGATTTCTATCGAAATGTTTTTATTCGTCCTGTTAAAATAACTTGTTTCCTTATCGTTAGAAATCGCTTTTGAACTATCACATTGTGTAAATTTAGTTTTAATATTGTTTTTGGTGTCTTCTGCTCTAATACTATCACTTGAATTAGTTTCCTCTAGTTTTACACTGTCATCACTTAAACCGACATGGTTTGTGTATAAATATTTATCTGAACACATTCGATAAACTTTTGGCATTTTTTGATGTGAGGAAGAAAATGGATTACAAATAAATAAATCATCATCAATTTGAAATTCACAATTTTCTTTTGAAAATTCCTTGATTTCATATATTGATTTTTCATCTTTTTTTTTAATTAAATTATTATTTTCTGATTCTATAATAGTAATCGATTCTGAATTTGTATTTGATGATATAAAATCTTCCACATCAGAATCTAATTTAATTGTGGAATTAGAATAATTATTGCTGAAAATAAAATTAAAAAAAGAATTGTTTGCATTTAAAAAAAAAAACCAAATTAATAATTATTGTAAACTAATAATACATACTTTTGTATTTGTGAAGCAAAAATAATATCATCATCCATGGAACAAATCACCGAATCATTATCATTGTAAGCCTCTGAAAACAAATAATACACATTGTAAAACTTCAATATTAATAGAAAACAATTTATTATAAGTTATAAAAAATGAGTTAAAAATCTTTAAAGTTAAATGATGTTTTTAACCAAGTTTTGATAACTTAAAGCCCTAGTCATATTAATTTATTTTTTTAAAAATGACACTTTATAAGTTACTTTAATTATAATATTAAAAATTAAGAAAAATAATTTTACCATATAACCGTAATAATTTTTTTTTATTGTTCATTTTATTATTTAATTAATAAACATTGAAAAAAAAAAAAAAAAACACTCTTAAATACTCCGCCAAATATTACTTGCCAAATATGAATTTAAATAGTAGAAATTTTGCATTTCGAAAGCGCGACAAATTTCCCTTAATAACGAATTAAATTTGATTTTTGGTATCACGTTGGATAAAACATGACCTAACGATAAAATTGTAGTTTTATTTTCTAAATATTACAAAATTAGATAAATTCTTGTCCAAATTATAATTTTTCGCTTATTTATATAGTTTCAAATTAATTAAATTTACTAAAAAAAAAAATATTTCTTTTTGTGTTTATTTTTACACTTTCGGTTTACATAATCGTTAATTTTATAAAAAATGATTAACCCTTTAGATTTAGTTACTGTACCTCAACCGCATTTTATACCTGGGTAATTTCAATTTAAAATAAATTAGAGATTAGAAGAAGATGAAGAAGAATAAAAAAGGCTCACCTTAATTTCATTTTTTATTAGATATACCGGGTACTGTCCACAATATATTTTTCGAGCTGGTAACACTTATGGCAGTTGCACTCATAAACTATTGGTCGATCCAACAATAAATCATTCTCAAAATCTCATACTTAGCGATCGAACACCAGATGATCATCAAGTTTTTCGTCCTGCTCAAAAAGATATTGATATTGTTAAGGCGAGATTTCGACAAGGAAATACAATTTATCAACATCCCATGATTCCCGGATATGAAGGTTTTTCAAATGCTTTCCATTAACTCTAACCTCATACACTCCTTAAACAAACATGAAACATGTTTTACAAACATACCATTAAATAAGTTTTTTTTTTATAATAATGAGTATATATATTTTAAATACCTAAACATTTAAATAATAAACATTTTGTGTTAAAGGTTTCGTACCAAGATTAAACAATCAATTCGGACAAAATTATTCGGTTGAAGCCACGGAAGCCATAACGGAATTTGAAAAACAACAATATAAAAATAGATTAGCTTTACAAAATGTTAAAAAATTAGGAGCTGCACAAAACGATGATTGGGATCCGAAAAGTTTACAGGATAGAACGGTAACATTATTTATCGAATCTTAAATCTTATTATAATAAAACGTTAACGAAAATAATCATTATTATTTGTTCAGCTCATAAAAGCCACGTATAAACTACCACTAATGACGGTTAGACCGGAACAAGTTGCTATTTTAAGAGATCGTAAAGTTGTTGAACCTTGTTTAGAACCCCCAATACAATCTCAGTCGCCATATTTTATGGATAATAATAATCCACAAAAAAGAATCACAAAAGGTTTGATGATTCAATCATGTATATTATAATGTAAAAGTCGTTAAAATTCATTAATTAAAATTTTTTTAAAAAATCAGGAACGTGCACATCGATACCTTTTGGTTATTCGAAATTTGGAATGTCAAATGATCCAATGACTAATTCGGCATTGTGCGATTTTACATCGAATTATAGAAAAAAATTAAGTACGGAATGGGCACCTGTAAACCTTTCAAGACCAGATCCTCCATTACATTTTACACAAATGGAAATTTATCACAAACATATAGGTCTTTTACCAAATTATGCCGGTCACATACCTGGTGCAAAATTTAGGTTAAAACCATCAAAATTTAAAACTCTAATTGTTTATAAAAATTTACCAAAAAAAAAAAAAAAACAAATTAATAATAATAATAATTTTCCAAATATTTTTAAGGTGTGGTAAAACAATCGGTGACGATTCAAGAGATGCTAAAAGATGGCTAAGAAGAGATTTTAGACTTTAGCAAGATTATTATAATAATTTAATATTTTCTTTAAAAAAAAAAATTAATAAAAAAAAAATTTAAAACAACAAACTAGGGATTAAAGTATAGAAAAAAAAAATTTTCCTTCCATCCGTTCTTTAAATTAAAATTTAATTTCTTCAAAAAAAAATTTTATTATTATTATTATTATTTTTTTTTAATGAATAATTTGTTTTATCAAATTGATAAGAAATTTTTAAAAAAAAAAAATGACTGATAATTTAGCTTTAGAAACATTTCGTAGAAAACAAGAAATTAAAAGCCGTGAGTAAATTTTTTTTTTTTTTAACAAGAAGAAAAATCTCTCCAGGATTTAAATTAGTATTTAAATTATTTTTTTTTGTAAGGATTTCCGGGTCATGTGAACTACGGTTACACTCATGGTTCTGGAGAAAAAATAAGGAAAATTAATGTAAATACGTACGAATTTATGGATACGATTAGGAGAAAACAAGCAACGGAATGGATTCCTAAAAATTATATTGAACTCCCTCGCCCCGTTGAAATGACTTGTTATTCTTTACATCATAAACATGTCGGCCACATTCCCAATTATGCAGGTCATATTCCAGGTGCAATATTCAGGTATTAATTATTTAAAATACATTCTCAATTATTGTGATTATACATTACTGTACGCCATTTTCTTCATAATTTAGGTGTGGTCAAACTTTTGGAAATGATACCATAGATGCAAAAAGATGGCTTACAGAAGAATAATAAAATAAATTAATTTTTTTTCCCTAATTATTAACAAAAAAAAATTCCAGATAATATTCAAATTCTTTTTTGTGTTGTAATCATTTAGTTATAAATTTTTTAAATAGAAGAATTAATATAATTTTTTATCCGTCATTTTACTTTTTCTTTTTTTTTTTTTTTGGGTCACCACCCATTGAAAAAATATTATTATTATTATTTTAATCGAAAACGAGTTATTCAAAAAAATATATAAAAATATATATATATATTTTAAATAGAAAAAAAAAAAAAAAACTAAAATAACAAATAAAATTAACGTTAATAAAATTACTAACATAAAGTTAAAAGTTAAAACTCTTAATTAAAATAAATATAAGACTAAAAGTTTTTTTGTTTTAAAGCCTCGATTTCCATTTTTTAAGTATTTCTGACGCTTTTTCGAGATTTTCGTCCCGCTAAAAACAAAAAATATGTAAATATATTTATAAAAATAAAAATTCTAACGGTAAAAAAAAAAAAAAGAAATAATTAAAATGTTGTTAGTGTGGAAAAATTTTTAATAAATTACACTCACTTTAATAAAACAGTAACGAACGTAATTTTCCCCTAAATGTTTGTGATGATCGTCGTAAAAGGCACTTGGAGGTATACCTAAAAGTCCAACGTTTTTCGTCATCCATTTGGTAAATTTATAATCTTTGTACGAATCCGTTTCTTTTGATAAATCAACTTTATTCTCTGAAAATATATAAGTTTTTCAATTATATAAATGGATAAATTAATAATTGATAATTATTAATGATAACGCACCCAATGGACTCCAATCCGCGACAACAAAATAACCTCCTTCAGGTACGGTGGGTACCATACCAATTTCAGTTAGCATATCTACAATTTTTTTTTTCTTCGGTTCTAATTCTTTTGGTAATGAATTAAAATAACATTCATTTGACCCCAAACGTTCAGTTTCTAATTCGAAACCAGAAGCTAAAGCTTCCTGTATGGGAGTACTACAAGTATAAACACAATTTTGATGAACAACTTGAGCATTATAAAGAAGATTAGCAGGACCATATGCCCATCCGATTTTCCAACCTGTTACACTAAAAGTTTTCCCTGCGGAACCTATTGTAATAGTTCTATCCCACATTCCAGGTAGTGATGCTGAAAATAATAAACAAACGTTATTAACGGTTTTATTTTTTTATTCGAGTTAGTAAATAAAGAACATCTACCTATTCTTATGTGTTTATTCGGTTCGTAAACAATCCATTCGTAAACTTCATCCGATATGCAAAGAACATCCCACTTTTTGCAAAGATCAGCAATAAATTGTAATTCATCTAAAGTGAAAACTTTACCAATAGGATTGTGAGGAGTATTGACAATAATTAATTTAGTCTTTGAGTTAAATAACTTTGATAGTTCATCTTTGTCGAAAACCCAATCTGCCGATGATATCGGTGTTGTCGTTTTTCTCTATGATAATTATACAAAAATGTAACCGTTAATGATACAATATTTTTTTTAATGTCGTAGAATATTTAGAAAAACATAAATTTTTAAATTACTGGTTTTAAGGGTATCATCACAGGCTTTCCTCCGCATGTTTTTACCATAGGTACATAACAATCGAAAAAAGGTTCAATTATAATGGCTTCATCTCCAGGCTTTATGTGACCTGATATTGTAGAAAACAAAGCTTCATATGCACCAGCTGTCACAAGCACTTCTTTAAATGGATTGATTTCTCTGCCTAAAAGTTTTGAGTATAATTTAGCTATTGCAGTAGCCAGTCTGGGGTGACCCTAAAAATATATTATATTGATATTGTAAATATATGTAACTAATGACTCCCAATTAATTACAAATGTTTTAAAGTTTTAATAAAATAAGTGAATGCGCTTTAACTCACAAAACCCCTAGTGTACTGATTTATAAGAACATTTGATCCAGTAGTCGCTTCTGCCAATGCTTTCGTTACATATTCTGGGGCTGCAAAATCAGGAAATCCTTGGCCTAAATTTAAAGGTTTGTGTTCTGCTGCAAGTTGTATATACTCTACCCTGTTATAAAAATTAACAAAAATTTTTAATTTGATATAAGTGAAAGGTGTTAAAAGATTCGAAGGTCAAGTACCCGAAATACTTGAAACAATTATTGATTGTACAACATAAGGAATCACACAATATGTTCGATCAATATTAAAAATACATTTACGTACCAGACACTTTTTTCGCTCCCCAAAAATCTATCGGGAAGATTAAATTTATTTGAGTTCAACGAAGACATTCTTGCTTCTGATTGGAAACAATTTGACGTTGCCTTCTGTATAAAACCATAAACAGGAATAAGCTTATTTTTAATTAATTCAGAACTTTTAAAATTTGTTAAAATTTCCCTGACCGAATTAAGCATACTAAATTACAAGCTGTTAAAAAAAAAAAAATTTAAATGACAAGCTTACAATCAATTGTAAATCAAATTTAAGTTTACAAACTTTTTATCATCAGAATTACTGGAACTGGCCCAAAAAATTTGTATTTTCATTAACACTAATCATATGATAGTGACAGGGAAATTTGTCGACGAATCGTATTATCAACTAAGGTAAACACATTACAATGATAAACATTCGTCCGGTTTTAAAATCGTATCAGTTTTTTCAAGTGTCTAAATGTCAATTAACATTAAATAAAGTAATTCATTTGAAATTTTCAACATCAGTAATAAACCTCAGATTATTTCGTTCTTATATAAAGTTTAAACATAAATTACGCGTAACAGATAATTCAGAATCAACATCTGAAGAAGATGATAATTTTTTAAACAGTAATTTCGATAAAATAATTGAAAGGTCTCTATTACCGTTAGGTGGTCACCATCAAGTATTCGTCATTCAGCCCGTTATAAAATGGGGACAAAAGAAAAAAAGAAACACTACCCCAGAACTTCAATTGGAAGAATCCATTACTTTAGTTAAAACATTAAGAAATTGGAAAGTGGTAGGAGAAGCTATTGTCAAATTAGAAAGTTTTAATAGAAAAACATTTTTCGGCAAAGGTAATTTACAACTTATTAGAGAATTAATTTTAAAACATCCCACCATATCGGCAGTTTTTTTAAGTACAGAATTATTAAAACTAGTCCAGCAAAAAATATTAGAAGAAATGCTTACCGTCCCTGTGTTCGATAGGTACACCCTAATCATGCACATATTGAGAGAACATGCTAAAACAAGGGAGGCAAAACTTCAAATCAAATTAGCAGAACTACCATATTTATATAAAGTTATGGGAGGTTTAAAGTCTGGATATGGCATACATTTTTTTAACGAAATCACCTCTCGGTCGAGAGCGGCTAGAAAAGAAATTTTTAAAGAAAAAGAAGCCCAAATTCGAAATGAATTAGCAATTCTTAGAAAGCATAGAGAAGAACTTAGAAATAAAAGGAAAAAAAATGACATGCCTGTTATTGCAGTCGTAGGTTATACAAATGCAGGAAAAACTTCACTTGTAAAAGCACTTACAGGAAAGGAAAAATTAGAACCCAAAGATTATCTCTTTGCAACTTTAGATGTAACATGTCACATTGGTACTCTTCCATCATCTTTACCCGTTTATTTTGTCGACACATTGGGTTTCATGAATGACATACCAACTTTCCTTATAGAATCTTTTGTTTACACACTGGAAGATGTTAAATATGCAGATGTTATTATTCATGTGAGAGACATAAGTCATCCCAATACGGTAGCTCAAAATGACAACGTCATACAAACATTACACCAATTAAATTTGTCAGATGAAGATTGGGAATAAAGTAATTACAGTTGGA